GCAAACTGGTAAAGACGAGACAAGTTTCACTACCTACTCTTTTCGAAGAGTTCTCACACAAACGTAAGCACTGGCTTCTGCAGGAAAGAAGAAGGAACCTCAAAGTAAAGAAAAACGAAGAGAAGTCCGAAAGACAGTAATAAGGTGTATCAGCAGCGTTAGTTTTCAATATGGTGGATAATTTATGGGACATTTTAAATGATTCAATTAAACTTTTGCTGTGCTTGAAGTCTTTGCATATCCATACCGTCCATACTGCAAGTACCCTTTTGATTCAACGCATTTTCAATATCAGAGGACATGTAATCCATTCACTGAAAGCAGAGCTGATACACGCCTGAGCAGACATGATGTAAGCTATGGGATTTCGGTTCGATGCTCTATGTACGTAACAATGCAGAGCTTATACGAGCGAGCGATGATAACGTCGTCGGTTCAGTGGTCGATACGAACAACGGGCTGACGTTTTACTTTAGATACGTGGCAGTGCAACAGAAGGACCGCGCGCGCCGTTCACTTAAATTCAGGAACGCACTGAGGGTTAATTCTTTTAAGCTTTCATAGGCGATTGTTGTTTGTTGTTTATGGTGTGTTTAACAATGCTGTTAAGAGCGTGAAACTGTACTAGTAGAATGAAAACTGAATAACGAATTGGAAACAATAAAATAGAAAGAAATCGTAGTATAATTTGAGGTTCTGTCTCTGAATTTTCTTGGAGGGATGAGAAAATCAAGAAAATCTCAGTCAGGATTATTGACTTCCGGGCCGACATTTGAACCCGGACCTTCTGATTACGAAGCAGGATTGCTATCCGATCATGAGGTTCGGTGTATGAGTCTGTGTTGAAGTAAGCGGCGTGGCGAAAAATTACAATTTATGAGATATGAAGATGGAGACAAGAAGATCTGCCGAAAGAGTGGTAAGAAAAATAGCAGACTACGTTGTCTCATTCCATAGAAGAGAATAATGTTCAAGTAGAATGTATTTTTTTTTCGAGTATATCACAAAAAGTTGCGATTCCACGACACAGTGTCGTTATTATTTTGAAATTAATTTTTCCAAGGTCCGCTTCCGAATCATCCCCCATGCTTACCAGCATTACGTTGCCTGGTACTTTTAAATATTCGAAGATTTCGTGTGGATTTTTTTTTCTTGGCCCAGTAAGTGAAAGTAAAAAGTAAAGGTATCCACTTAACAGGCCGTGGAGGCCGTAGGTTGTGAGATGTTGAGGCTATTTTCTAGACAGTCGGCTCATAGATGGCTGTAAGGTTGTCAGCCTTACACGCCAGCCGTCCTTTACCACCAGGATTATTCATGATACTCATTTCTATTAGTGGCTGAGTCGACCCCAGAGCCACAGTGCGGCTGGAAGGATTAGGTCAATTGAAAAAATCCACCTCATCACGTCTCGATCCCGCGACCTTCCGGCTTGTAGCATAGTCTCTCAGTCAACTACGCTACCGCGTGCCCCCTTCTTGACCCAGTAACCCTAATAATTAAATGAGCACATAGCAACGTACTTACTATCGTTTCAGAACCTAATATTCAACTAACAAATTAACTTCACCATTTGTACCGTACAGTGTGTTTTTTAAGTAGCCCTTAGCTTTACAGCTTCGATCCTGAAGATAGAGACTGCATCTTCCTCCAAAACGCTGGCATTGGCCTACAGAACTACGTAAATGACGTCACAACTTAAAAGTCAGAATCTGGCTGTTCAGCTGCACAGGGAATTCCCCTATTACTGAACGTAAATAGGTGGCGATCTCGCCAATCTAGCGAACAATTCTACCATATATTGAGATGCCTGATTCCATATATACAGCAAAAACCTCTTTCAACATGTATTTTAATATCATCTTCTGGGGTATATTTGCATCTTCAGAATGATCGCTTTCTAACTAAAATTTTGAATGTTCGTCCTGACCATACAAAATGAAAAAATAGAAATTAAGGAAATCTTCATAATTCAACGGTCTGCATTCACCTGAATTCGTATTTTTATATGATATTAAAACGGTGAATTTTAAGAATGATGTCTGATACACACAGTTAAATTTACATGGGGAGGGGGGCACTGAATTCCTAAAATACGAATGAAATGTGACAGCAATATCACCTGCTGAGCGTGTGCCTTCCCATGGGCGTATGAAAATATTTCATGTCTGAAAGGAAAGACGAGTACAGTCTGTTTGGGCATTTGTCCCCACATTTTCGGTTCGATCATAGGCTTTAGGATGTACTACGATAGAGATTGCTGAAGGAATGCTGATCATAAAGTTTCTGATTAATAAATGAATCAATAAAATAATTATCAAGAGGAAAATTATTGTCGCATGTTTTAGTGACGTGTAGATGGGATTTTGATTGATGAGTCGATATATTGGATACTCACAAGTCGTAAGTACATTTGATTATAGCACTCGAAAAATTACTGTAACTATATCACATAAAGTAAGTCTTCAATGTCTGTTAACACTTCAACTATTCAGTTTCCTTCTGAATTCTCTTCGACTGAATGACTGAATTATGAGTCTCCACGGGTCCTTATATATAATCTAGTTCGTACCAATGGAAATTCCTTTATCACAAATCCGTTGGCACGACTACACATGTAATACCGTGGTAATCAACCTGCTGTGTTTACCTAGCGTTGCTCAACAACCGACTGTTCCAGCTGGTCGTCCCGGAAACGTGTTTCAACGAGCCGTTGCCTAACAATGGATTTACATGTAAACATTATGTAGGATTTGAGGTTTTCAAAAATGAGGTTGTGAAGAGTTATATATTCTGGGACATAACGCCGTATAGTCCGCTGAAAGTCAACCGTTGATATTCAACGGACTCCACGGCGTTATGTCCCAGTATATAGAACTCTTAAGAGAAAAATTATTTTCTAAAGGACGAAGGGAAGTTTAAGGAACGAAGAGAAATCTGCCGCCTAGAGAGAATGTTCATTCCCTCTCTTATGACTTACAATTTTGAGATTTTAACATACCACTTACATCCTTCTACGGCGCATAAGGTCCTTAATCCCTGGAACACTATGAAAGCGAATTCGATTCCGCTCGAATACGCATCTATGTCCGCTGCTTTTTGTTTGGTCTTGTGTCTTTCTATGTAGACAGAGTGAATTATCCGTCCACGTAAAATCCACAAATCCTTTACTCCTGAGCAGCCTCGTCCTGCGATTGTTTAGAAATTGCTACTCTTATAATAACACTACTACTTTCTCAGAAAGACACATGTCACTTTTGTGTGAAAACATCGGGATAATTCGAAAAGTCATACAGCAGCGGAACATGAGCCTTTACACCAGTTGAACCAGTGGCAATAGCGTAAAAGATCACAATAGACCTATTGCGTAAGCGTTTAAGCAGGATTTAGCAGTTTCCCGGTACAAATGTTTCTTTTTACTAATTATTTTTCCTTTTAGCACTTTCCGTCGCAGTGGTAGCTATGTACATCGTGCGCCTTGACGCTAAATAATGCGGTAGTTCATCACAGTTCCTTTTTGTGGCTTTCGTTTTGTTCTAAGAGGAAGCAGTCACTGTGTCCATAAACACTGTTTGCTAATAAGGTTCAAAATTCGTGACGATGGTACATTTATACAAAGCGGCCTCCGTAGTCTAGAGGTAACGTTCCCACCTCATGACTAGTAGTATGCGGGTTCAAATACCCGGCGGAGGTCGTGGAATTTGAAGGGCGGAAAAATTCAGGGAACAAGTCCTCCGGGAGGGACTTTAAGCTGTGTGTCCCGTGTCGTAACTTTACGGCATGTAAAAGAACCTCATATCCCCAAAGGGGATCACTGAGCCAAATTCGAAGACGTTTCCCGCCCAACAATAGTCTCTAAGGCCTCTGATAGATGGGGGAAGCATTATAAACACCGCTAAGCAAGTGGCCGAACTCGCTTGCTCGGCGGGACTGATGGTACGCACCATTATCGGTAGGGTATAGAGACTGGTAGAATATCATAGAGGGAAGCACAATAGATCAAACTGGTCGCGGTGCATGGGGAAACCCACCCTCTCTAAACAACTAACTAACTACATTTATACAATTATTGAGTTCTTGACATTATCCATCGTAGTTAATGGGCCAGAATGGCTGCGGACTGGACGGCTGGGGTGCGATTCCGGTAGGTCCAAGGGATTATTCCCTTCTCCACTTAGTCCAGACCGGCTCTGGGTCCCACACAGTCTCATATCCAATGGGTATCGGGGATTTTTCCCCCGGGGTTAAAGCGACAGGGGCGTGAAGCTGACCACTTATCTCCATCTGTGCTGACGTCAATAATGGTGGAATTATACCTCTACTGTTCCATACGTCTTCATGGCGTGATAATTAATTAAGCACACGGACAACCTTATCTTTTTCCAGCCTACTTCCCTCATTTAAAAAAAATGAGGCCTTATAAGACCACCATGCTGTGTGTATGCGAATAGATCTGTTAGACACGTGTTTTTCCATGCTGTCAGTGTCGTATTAATGGAAACTAGGCGGTTACCTATTCCCAGAATTTTTTTTTAATTTAGTTATGGGCTAGCTCTATGAATCCAGTGTCCGAACGTTATTTTAAACAAAAAGGAGAAGATGGATAATGTCAATTAAATTAATTAAACATTAAAAATATATGTAATCGGCATTCTGTGGGTTTTTTGAGCGAGACCTTTGGACTGACTTATCGAGGAAGTCAACTCAAGCGGTAAAGCCTCTGAGTCGTCTTGGAAGGTGAACTGTTCGAATCTAGATTGAGGTTTTGCGTCTTACAGACACGACAGATAGCTCAGAAATTAAATTTTAATAGTGTCGGCCTCTTTCACCTTAAGATTGACAGTTCAATAAACCGTTAATATAAATTCATGTAACAGTTCTGGTGTGTCAAATGCCATTGCTTCCGCTTAAGATCTTGCTTGCGGGGTAGATGTATACTGAAGAAACGAAGATGGAACAGCAAACGTACACTCAGTGAGTGCTGACTGAGGCGGGGTACTTACCGGTATATTGTTCAGGAAGAAGCTGAGGCTGGCTGCTGGTTTGGAAGGTGGTGAAGAGCAGTTGGCACGCAGAGTATCGCCCGGTTCGTAGCGGTCATGTTCCGTGTAGATCACTGGCGGTGTTTCCGGTAGAGCTGAAACAGAGAAACCATGACGTACCACACGAACCGCACAACAGGCACTCTACTCGCTAATGCACAGATAACTAATGAGAAGTATCATACTAAAATACTGGCAGCAGCTCCGCGAACATGATGCTGGCAACAGACTCTGTGGAAGTTACGATACAGCAGAAAGTGACCACCCCCCCCCAGCTCCCTTTACGAACACTCTTCTTTTATTAGTTCCTAACGGTGCCTCCAGTTATTTAAGCCCACTGGTGTAAGGAAAAAAGAAAAAAAGGAAAACAGCCTTGCTTCGCTGAACATTATGGTCGTGGGTTCGAATCCCACTCGAGGTATAAATGTCTGTGTGCCTTTATTCTGTGTATAGGTAGAGGCCTTGCCACGGCCTAATCCCCTGTCCAAGGAGTTCTACCGACTGTGTATAGGATTAAGAAACTGTAAAGCGGCCAAGGCCCAACAGAGGGCTGTAGAGCCATAGACAGACAGGTGGATGGATGGATCTACAGAAACTTCCTAAGCTCCTAGTAAACTGCAATGCAAGCAGTCTGAAATGTGCGTGGGTTATAACAGGCTTCCACTCTATCTGCGAAGAATGAACGCCCCGACCTTGATTCCACACAACATAAACTAAATTTTTAGTATTCCGAGCTAATTCTGCTGTTTTTCCTTGATCTTTGTTTCTTTCAAGAGTATAAAGAAACCTGTCGACTGCGATCTACCAGGAAAGAAACTGCTGTTGACACGGAATATGTATAAACTGTCGTTTTCAAGTAGTTTACAGAAGTTTCCTTCTGCGTGCAAACCAACTCATGCAATCCGATTACCGCTGTCACTCCGACAGCCAAAACAAACAGAGTTCATTTCGTTTCAAGACTAGCAGAGGTAAGAGTAACATGTGGCTTCTCTAGACCGGGATACAATGAAACCTGCCTGCATGGCGACAAGCTCCGTTCCAGAACACAAGATAACAGATAATTTAAAATGACATAATAAACTGTGACTGACGGTTTATGTAAGATGCATGGTAAAGAACAGGAATTCATGCAAAATGTCAATCACAAAACAACAGGAAGAGACCTAGGCGTAGATACGAGGACAGATTTGAAATATATCGGAAAGAAATGTGTTTCGAGGGTGTGAACTACAAGCATGATATTAGTTTATATATGGAAATTATTTAACGCAAACAGTGAATGGTGAAACAATAATGTAATGGGAAGAATGTAAGATTTGAGGCTTTCACGGCGGTGACTATGAAGAAAGCAGTCTTCTGGGATTTGGCACCGTGTATATGTGGTGTTAACCGACGTTTCGGAGGAACGTATCGCCCCCATCTTCAGGGTAGAAGAAAAAGTATAAGAATTCTGCAAGCGACAACACCGTGAGAAACGGTAAAGCAGACNATCCGACTTTCGGCAAAATGTATGCAATATACAGCGACGTATTTGCTCAAGGCAAGATCTGTGAAACCAGAGAAACAACAGAGCCAAGGTAATGCCCGCACGCAACAATAGAGGAACTGTCATGATACAGCAGTTCCTATGGAGCGACTGGGTAAGCATGTTTCTGCGGAGACGAGTTCACGCAACAGTAGAAGAGCTGTGTTTTCTGTGCGACCCGTGCCAACGGGTTATAAAAAGAGAGGCTTAAATTTGGCGGCGGTCAAGCATACGACTAGACTGCCGTTTGTAGCCGAAGCTATTAGAAATACGGTATAATCTGCTGTACTGAGCCTGGACTCACAGAGGCCCTGCATATATTTTATATATATATTTATTAACATGTTTAAAATATAAAATGTAAACATCCTTTACATTATGACAAATGACTTACTGCTAAAGACAATTACTCTGACAAAAGAGAGACCCGTCCTCTCGTCAGAGAAGACTTTCCACAGAAACAGGACCGTAACTGAAAAACTAATAAATATCTGGTCATGAGCCCTAGATGGGGCTCGACACTAAGACTCACTGACTGACTGACCGACCGTCAGTCGCAATGTGACTTTGACTTCTTCACGTCAGTTCAGTTCGAGCAGAGAGTTGAACTCTGAGAAGATAAGGGAGAAGAGATGGCAGTTGCAGCAGAGAATTGGATTGAGACTTCCGGAGTTGGCAGTTGGCAGATGACGGAGGAGTCGAGCGAGTTCGGTGGAAAAAATGAAAGTCCGACAGCAAATAGAAGATTTTACATGTGCTGTGGTACCTGTGTTAAAATCCATTGCCACGAAACGGATAGTGAAGCCTGTAGTAGACTGAGGACACTAGTGTTTACAGCGGCGGACAGCATACTTCTAAAATCAGCATAACGCTGTAATTACATGCAGTTTCGAGTGTTGTGTATAAGTGGTAAATAAATTCAATTCATCCAATCCATATCTTGTCTAACAGTCACAGCCCTAACACGTGACAATACTGTGATGAGATCCTGAAGAAGAAATAAAAAATGTTGTAGAAAAAAGCGCGAAATATGTAGTGGGTAACAGCTGTGAAGAGTGCGTTATGTAGTGTCTATTTCTGATTTGTGATTTATATATAAACGAACATGGCCTGAACTATGAAATGTCTGTACTAAATGGGAAAGTAGTCTAGAACGAAAAGATACACAGGTCCCGTTGGAGTCCGATGTAAGCCATGTACAGACGTGATCAATATCGCCCTTTTTGTCCCTCTGCCTGTACGTGTAGGAGAGGTGAACTCGTACAGAAATGTGTCACGATCTTGATGGATCGGATTCGAGTACAGACAGATATACGGGTATAAAAAAGACATTATGGGACTTGTAATAGAAGGAGACATTATTTTATCTCATTCTGGAATGGAGATGCGGCAGTAGTTGCCAGAAAGTATGCCGACACTCTGGAGCTTCACGAGATATGACTTCTTTATTCCATTTTGTTGAATAAAATCAAGCACGTATCCAGCGAGTGTTAACAGTGTGTTTAGATTTGACATGAAAATTAAATTTTAGCAACTCTCTTATCGGATCACGGAATTGCTTCGACATCAGTTTGGAAATGCATAATTACCTTGGAATTAGCGAGGATAAAAATTTGACTTGGGATTAATTACCAAAGGTCTGAAAATGATGGAAACAATTTTAAAGAGCCATAAATATTCGGCTAAATTTGAAAAAGAATGATAGTTCAGTTTCGGAGAAAGTTAAATTTATTGGCAGCGACTATTTTTCAGCAGTTGTTTGCGAATGTTTTTTCCTGCCTTCCTGCTGCAGATAGGGACAGAGATACAGCATGCAATTTGTCCAGTGTTAGTTGTGATGATGTGACAAATTAAATGAAAGTAACCGTAACGGACGCACGGGCTTTATGTCTCCCCCCCCCCCTGTAGAAATCGCTCACAAACCAGTATTAAAGATGACTTAACGATACTTTGATACCGAAATGCGACATTTTACTGAAAGGAACTGTCAGCTTGATCACACGTCGGCACGTAGGAATATCTGTTTAAGTATTCTGAACAGTCACTCATATATTATAGACTTGGTTTCCAAGAAGGTGAACCTTATTTTCGGGCTCTGGATTTTCCTTGTGAGGGACTTGAAATGGAATGAATGCAGAGATGGGATTTATGCTACAGACAGAAAGTTATAGCCCAAAGGATATGGAAAGAATTGGAGAATTTCAGAGAAGTCTGTAGAGAAAGGCTAGAAATACTATAGGGGTTGGAGAATATGGTGAAAAATGTGAGTAGAAGGAAATTGCGAAAGAATAACCGGAAATCGGTGAGATGAAAGGAAGTGCCTGCGAGCTCAAACAGCATACGTCATATTCAGTGAACTGATAAACGACCTTAAGCAGTAGGGTCATTCACTTGAATTTTCATATCATATGAGAGTTGTCAGGTATGTTGTGAAACAGTGTAACTGGAACTCTCTTAGTCCATTCAGGGCCAAATAATTTTGGGTAAACTAAAGAATATTTTAGTGCTAACAGATGACGTACAATACATCTAGTTAAATTTTAAATAAGCATCAGTTCCCATTTATTATACCCATGCCTTGTAGACTTGTCGCGGAATAGAAGTAATTCCTCGTATTGCCTGATGCAGGTCAAAAGAACAGCTGTCCTTCCGAACTTATTACAGTGCTACATGCGTCCGCCGGGACGCGTCTGTCTGCTGTTATGAACAGATACTATAGACACAAATTGACAGACTTTAATTGGCTATGTATATGCAGTATCTTGGCACTTTCTAAATGCCTGCCATCAACGGTACTAAGATGGCGGCTCTGAAAATGTGTGAAATGGAATCGTCACGTCATTCAGGGCAGTCCTGAAATTATACGAGATAATGAATCTCTGTAACATATTAAGATTTAAGTTAGATAAGTTTTTAAAGTAACTAAACTTAGGCTGCGCCATAGCTGCGGCGGCCCGGGGTCGATCCCGGGTCTGGTCAAGTGGGATTTGTGGTGGGAAAAGTGGCGCTTGGGAAGGTTTTCTCCGAATATTTCGGTTGCCCCTGCCAATCTTCATTCCACCAATTGCTCCACAATCACCCTCACCTATCATCTGGGGCTGGTACAATAGGCCAGAAGTGGTCGCAGTACAAGGGACTTAGTCCCACCCCACTAGCAATAAAAGAAAACTGAACTTAATTAGAAAGCACATTCCTGAAATGGTTTATTTTATGATAAGTGGCGATTTATAGACTGAGAAACGAGACTCACAGCTTTAAAAATTATATTTACAGATTATATTTAATTGAACCTTAGAACCCCGAAATGTACTACCAAAACAGAATAGCTTTAAACGACTTTAAAATATACTTTTAACTACGTCTGCACTCTATCCCCCTGAGCTGTCCGGAAGCCATTCTTTTCAACTGACCTGCCGTTTACCTGAGCGTACCTGGCTGAAATAGTTTTCTTGAAATTTCACACTGTCATGACGTCATTAAAGTTATCTCCCCTGAATCAATTACGTCCTACATTGGTTGATTCTGGTGACGATTTTATTCGAAGATCGAAATGCTTTGAACTATTCACAT